TTCCAAAAGGTCCATGCGTTGCTAGGTTTATAGTGAATGACACTGACGTCACCGTTAACATATTGAAAAAATGATAATAAAGTCCCAAAAGATCAATTTTATTTAAGGTAAATTTCAAGATATTCTGAAAGGCCAGTTAAGTCCTATGCTGTTTTTTACAAATCAAACTTATGAAAGAAATAATGAAAATACCCTTATGATTAAATATAACATGTACACTTATCAATTCCAGCATTTTCCTCCTGATTTATCTCTTTCCCGCCATTAATGAGAGCTGCATGTAAGTGGTGGGGCTGCACATTAAAGAATACCATTCCTAAAACAGAGTTGTGCTTGGAAAAGGTGGAGTTGCCTTAATTACTGACTCAAGGAAGCTCAAGGAGTTGTGCTAGTGCATTTAGACAGGTGTGTCTTTTTTTTTTTAAATCCCTGCATCTGAACAAAAAAGTTTACTCCATTAAGGTCTGATTTCTTGCAAAATGGCTCTCGTAAGGGAAAAGATGGAACGATTTATTGCGACTGAACATGAAAGATTTTTTTTTTTCATGTTTCTAAAGATTTGGCATGAAGATTCGACATTTTGCAACTGAAAGTGTAAGAATTTATCATCGAGTGTCCATATCTTAAGATGGAACGCTGTCAATGTTTTACTGATGCAAAAATCACTTATGTCAAAAGTAACTTGTTTCTAAGTGATGTATTATTACATTTTATTTTGTTTATTATAAGTTGATATTCTTAGGTACAATGGAAAGTAGTTGTTTCGAGGAAATTTTTGTTATTTTCATTTTGGTGGAGATATTGTAAAAGATATGCATGTGACAATGCATTATGATAGGGGGAGTTGTAATGGAAGAATGATTAGAGAAGGAATGTCTCTTGAAGGACTTGTTAGATTGATTTCATCATGCCTGAATTGTGATTTTAATGAAATAGAGTTGAAGTACACAGTAAAGTTTGATTGTAATGCTCTTTTAGACTTTAAAGATGATGAAGGGATGAATCAATTAATGAAATTAAATGATAATTTTGCTTATATGTACATCATTGGGAAGATACAGCAAAGTATAAAGGTAATAAGAGATTCAATTGATGGGTAAGTTTTTTTAATAATTGCATGATTAATATTATACTAATATGAATATGAATGGTAGTAATAAACATGATTTGAATGGAAATGTAGAGTAGGATGTTCAGCTGGGAATTCATATGCTACACAAGATCTTGAAGTTCTACCATGTGCAATGCAAAGTATCCCAACACCAATGCCTGAGCTAAATGCAACAAAGTGGAAGGATTTGCTAGTAGGACCTGGATAGATTTTTACGAGTGCTGATGATTGTAGACAAACAATCTACAAGTATAGTATTGCACTATGCATGTTATCTTCATAGCTCATAGGAGAAAATATACAATGGCACTATGCATTATGTTGAGACCCTTGAGATGTCACCATGAGATGTCAAAGCCAAATGCATTGACAATATCTAAGCTCATAAACCAAACCTTTTTGCTACCTCCTAGAACATCTCGATCAGCTGGCAGACCTCGTCGTGTGAGGATTGAGTCTCAATATCAGTAGAAGAAGGTTTATCATTGTTCTCATTGTCATGAAGCAAGTCGTACATGGAAGAGGTGTAGAAATCCAAATCCAAGTTGATGTTATTGTAAATGGGTTACTACATAAACTTGGATTTGGGTGATATACATGTATAGGTAGTTTTAGATCAAGTTAGATTTAGTTAACATATATAGGTTTTTATACATATATATTGGTAGTATTAAGAGATTTTTTTGGTATATAACAACCCCTCTTTTATAAATCTAAGTTCATGCTTTTGTGTATGTGGACAACTGATATGTGCAGATGCATTAGATGAATTAATACATGTAGCTTATATGTACAGTTCATATCTTTTGTAATCACTAAAAGTGTATTGTCTTAAAATTTCGAACAGAGGTTGCAAATTATTTATAAGGTAGTTGCAAAATTTGGTATGTCAATTGCAAATTACTAGAGCCCTGTCCTAAAATAATTTGATAGCTCTACAAGTTTAAGAATTCAAAGGTTATTCCACCCAAAATTTTGAGAAGGAGTTGCAAATTATTCACAAGGAAGTTGCAAAATTTAGTATGTTAGTTGTAAATTACTGAAGCCATGTCCTAAAATAATTTGGTAGCTTTGCAAGTTCAAGAATTCAAAAGTTATTCCACTCAAAATTTTGAGAACGAGTTGCAAATTATTCATAATAAAGTTACAAAATTTGGTATTTCAGTAGTAAATTACTGGAGCGTTATCCTAAAATAATTTGATAGATTTGTAAGTTCAAGAATTCAAAAGTTATTCCACCTAAAATTTTGAGAAGGAGTTGCAAATTATTTGTAATGAAGTTGCAAAATTTGGTATGTCAGTTGCAAATTACTGAAGCCATGTCCTAAAATAATTTGGTAGCTTTGCAAGTTCAAAAATTCAATAGTTCTTCCACCCAAAATTTTGAGGAGTTGCAAATTATTTGTAAGAAAGTTGTAAAATATGGTGTCTCAATTGCAAATTACTGGAGCATTTTCCTACAATAATAAATTTAAGAATTTAATAGTTCTTCCACCCAAAATTTTGAAAAGAAGTTGCAAATTATTCATAAAAAAGTTACAAAATCCGGTGTCTGAATTACAAATTACTGGAGTGTTGTCCTAGAATAATAAATTTCTTAAGAATTCGATGGTTTTCTCACCCAAAATTTTGACAAGCAATGATAAATTTTTCTCGAGATAGTTGCAAAACTGGGTACCCAAGTTGCTTGGCAACTTGATTGATTGGGTATAATGTATAACTTAAACATTACAAATACGTTTTAATATTAGAAGTTGGGAATAAAATTGTGAAAACAAATTATAGAGTTACAAAGTTGCAAATTTGATTAATTGGGTACAATATATAACTTTGAATTTAAAATCCATTTGAGTATGTCGTCACTTGTACAAACTACATAGTCCCCCTTCAGTTAAGACACTCAGGGAAAAAAATTAAAGAAGAAGCAATTTCTGCATAATCAAAATGGTGAATGTTGATGAGGATTAGACTCTTCAACTAGGCAAATGCATCACACCCATCGAAGATTAATGACCAAAACAAATTACAGATTAATGACCTAAGCAACTGATCACTTAGGGCAGAGAAGAGACGTCAAACAAAACTAGAATAGAGATGATAGATAGCTTTACTGAACAGTCCAAGGAAGAGACGACAGAGAGCTTTATTCGTTTGCAATGAGATAGGGAAGAGACAACGAACAAGGTGGGGAAGAGATGACGAGCAGGGCAGGGAAGAGTAGAGAAGGAGCAACCTCAAATTTTCATCAGCCAAATAAGGGTATTTTGGTCATTTCTTATTATATTAAAATGCTACTCAAGGACCTAGGGACTTAACTGGCCTTTCAAAATGTCTTGGGACTTACCTTGAATAAAATTGATCCTTTAGGACTTAATTGTCATTTTCCCTAACATATTTGCAAATACTTTATGGGTCCCGCCTAAGGATATGAGGTGCTCCGAAGGCTAGTTAATTATAAACTTGCAAATCATATTAATTAAACGCACCTGCATGCCACAGCATATATATGTGTTTGTTTGTCTTAAAGAACAAATTAATTTTTAAACTAGAGGTTTATGAATGTTTGAAATCATAAACTTATTTTTCATATAATGTTTTCATTCAATTTTTAAAAATATTATAATTTAGCTCTTGTCACTAACAAAAATTAATTTTAATTATTAATTAACTAGAATGTGCTGTTAAAAATTGCAGAAAAGAACTTTGAAATTATAGGTAAAGATCGAAAAATATAGAAAATGGCTAAGAAAATTTTATTTGTCATTTTCTATAATTTTGGAGCTTCGTTTTCATAATCTTATAGTTAACTAATGGTTAAAGTTAACTTTTATTAGCAAAAGAGAAACGTCGCACAAAAAATGAATATAGAATTTCAAATACTTTTAAACCTATAGTTTAGATTATAATTGGCTCATTCGCTCTTTTAGTGTATATCTCTATTTGTGTGTGTTTTAGTAGTTTATATATAAAATATTGCAAGTGCTTATTAAGATGTTTAATTTAGTAAACTGAACAAGTCACATTAACAGAGCATGCTTACAATGAGCCTTTCACCAATGTCAATGGAATTGTTGCCACTAAATGTTATAGAAGTAATTTCACTTGTGTCCTGGAAAGATATGGACTTGATGTTTAATCCTACATGGATGATTATCTGGTTTTATGCCTTCATTTGTTGTATAACTCCATGGATCACCACTTGGGCCTCCCTATGGACCTATTGAAATGCTTTCTTCTATGTCATTCCACTACATCATGATATCGAATTTGCTTGTGAAGTTATTTCTTATTAATATAAATTTGTAAGAAGTCACACTATTCACAAATCTCTTAATAATCAGTGAAGTTCATAAGACTATGAGGGAAATATACTGGATTCAAGCATGGAGTGTGTGTGTTGCCTTAAGGCAGTCGTCCTACATTTATAGTATGGGTGAGTACGTAACTTAATCTAGGAAACATATAAACAAATCATATTGCATAATATTTGTATTGATGACAAAATGATCATTGTGATTTATATAACCAATTAAGGCTAAAGTATATTGATCCTCTAATTTTATATAATGTTTTAATTTAATCATTTTAATCTTATAAAATATCTTTTTAGTTCTCTAACCCTAACACCATTAGTTAAGTGCTTTTTCAATATTTAAATGTTTAATGTCAAAAAAATTTTCTAATGAAACTAATAGTATTAAGGTTAAAGGATTAAAATGTCTCATTGAATACTTTGGCCTATCAAAAGGAGGGAAAAAATACCAATATAGAGTTGGGTATAATGGAAGAACTAGTTCTTCAAAACATGGTGAATTAATGTTTGAATATCCTTTAGTAGAGGTGCCACATTTAATGCCTAACTGTGTTTAGAATAAGAGGATAAATAGTATTACAAAAACTTATGAGGATTGTTGTTACAAAAACTCTTGATTTCATGTTTTGCCCTTATCATGCCTTCATAGACATAGCCAAGAGAAGGCTTTTCATTTCCATCAACAATTCTTAGCAACCGAATGAGGGGACTAACAAGCACCACAATGTCATAACACTCATTCCAAAATATATTGTCCAAGACAATGTTAGCAAAATTCTGTCCTGCTACTGTCTTTGACAACTTGTGATTAACAAAATGTCTATCAACCACCAAAGCTTGCAAGTCATTCTTGTGCTTATGAATGCTTTGTAAAGTAATGAAGGTGGTAGCAAATCTAGTTGCTCTTAGACACACAATCTCCCTCCAACCTTGTGTTTTTCTAAGCCATGACAAAACGATAGTATGATTGTACACAAAAATGATAATCTTTGATGCCTTGGATGCAAGGTCTAGCACATGAGACAAACTTGCAATGTCTTTCAAGATGAGATTCAAGCAATATGTAGCACATTGTGACCAATAAATATGCCTATATTTCTCATGAATCAGTCGACCACATGCTACATAGTTGGCTGCATTATCAGTCATCATATGAACAATATTTTTAGGGCCAATCCACTTTATCACTTCACTAAACATCTGAAATAATATCTTGGCATCTTTGACTAGCTCTGAAGCATCAATAGACTTCACAAACACTATACCTTTTGTAGAATGAACTAAGAAGTTTATAAATGTACGTTGCTTAACATCAGTCCAACCATCAGCCATTAACGTGCAACCATTACTTTCCCATCTGCTTTGACGAGCATCAATAATTAAATGACATTCTCATTTCAAATCCCCTAATAAATTCACTCTCATATCATAAGTAGTAGGGCCTTTGAATCTAGGTCCTATAGCAGTAATTGCATCTATAGCTTTTTAAAAGAATGGACAATTCAATGTATTGAAAGGAATGCAATTGATAACAAACTACTTAGAAATAGCAATCTTTGCTTTATGCTGTGCTTGTTTAGTGGATAAAAAACTTCTAATACCTGGTTGTGCATCAGGAGTTGTTCTTAAGGCAAAGTAATTGCTAGTTGCACCAAAAGCTTGTCTCTTTACACCACTTGTAGAAGCCTTCCTTTTATCTTGAGCCGCAGAAGCTGTATTTGAAGGAGGATTTAAATCAGCATCAACTACTTCTTGTAAGTCATTAATATCACCATAATTTTTCTCAATATCATTCAGCTTTCTTTTTCTTAAAACCTCCCTTAAAGATAAGATCATTTGATGGCGTACATCATGAGAAACTTTTTTACAAGAAATAACTTGATCACTTACACTAGCTAGATGTTGCTTCAATCCATTTATGCCACCCCCTCTGTATTCACTTGAACAATGCAAGCATGTATAAACAGCAGTATCCCTTCTTTTCTTAAGGCTACATGTTCCTAGGCAGGATCAGTCTTCCCATAGGTAGAGCCAGGTATTGATTGTTTCTCTAATGAACTACCAATACCAGTCCTTCCAATAGCATTAACATTATGAGTAGAAGGGGTATTTGACACGGGTATAGGAGTTAGTGTGGGAGTGGGCGTAGGTGTGGGAGTGTCATTATTTTTAAGGCCACCAGCATCCATGATCTTAAATCAAAACTTTAAATTCAAATAAATAGAAATTAAATCACTAGATAAAAATAATAAACCACAAAAATAGAAACAGAGACTCTGTAAAAGGCAACTCAGGATTTAAGTAACAAAAATGAATTCAGGATATGATAAGTAACAATTTTAGACAATCACAAAAATGAAAGAATAAACATGCAATTTAGGATTTAAGTAACAATTTCAGACAAATTCAAACAAGTTGGACCTGGAGAGCTCCAACTCATTGAATCAGAGATGAAGACGAGTTAAACTTAGAGAGTATGGATTCAGACTTTAGAGATGACTCGAGTACTTGACCTTGGGTAGAGAGATGAAGACAGACTGAAGAAGAACCCAGATTAGACTTAAAAAATGAGACGGAGATGATACAAGATCTAACTTCCCACTTCAGTAATGGGATGAAGAATGCGTCTGACAAGTGTGCTGAGCTCAGAGATACATCCACTGTCCGTCGAAATGAAGAAAATCCCAGTGACAAATGCATGCGATCGTGTGTGTCGAAGAGGACGAAAGGAGAAACTGAATCTGCCACTCTCAAACAACTGGAACTGAAAGTGAAAAATGAAGTAATGAATAGAGAATAGGCAGAGCAACTTATTGGGCTAGGGCAATCGCAACTAGTCCTTATTTAAATCATTAAATAATTATTAAAAATTTAAAAAAAAAAAAACTCAAAACTATGTCGTTTTAAGCTGGAGGAGCAGAAAAAATTAATATAACATGAACCGATCAACTTATCTGAATTGTCACTTTTATGGTTTTTTTTTTTGTTCTTTAACTAGTTCAATGGTACCCCGATTTACTTGCCCCAACCGAACCAGACTAGTGACCGATTCACGGTTGATCCAGCTGATTTAGTATAGTTTTTAAAACTTTGATAAATACATATGAGCTAGCAATCAAAAAAGAGGGGAAAAATGATTACTGGTTTGGCATGGATGTTAATTGCATGAAGGTAATAGCCTGCTCTTCTATGGGATCCATTCATAAGAGAACCTTCATTTGGCAAGGAGAAATAAGTGCTATTGGAAGCCCCAAAGGTCCATGTATTGTTAGATTGGTTATGAATGAGACTAAAGCCGATAATTCAGGTAGGCTGAGTTTATTTAGGCTAGCATTATTATGATCAGGTTTAAAGTATCCTACCTTATCTAAAAGTTATATAGCCAAGCCCAGCCAAAATAATACCTTCAGGCTTCGGGCTTATTCAGGCCCAACCTAAAGATCTAAAACTTT